TTGAGTATTGCTGTCTATAAACAGTTCAGATAGATGCGGTTACTGCAGGCAGTGCAGCAGAGTGTTTTACTGAGACCTCTGCAGGGGAAGTTCTTTCCTACCCCGTGAGTCTATTGGACAGACGGCTGTCCCAGATTCAGGAAGTGACTGCTGCCATGTGCGCTTGCACAGATCTGCAGATCGACAGTACACAGGCCGTACTTTCAGCCCTGTGTCCCCTTGTGTCATGGGGCATTTCAAGTTGTCATCTTCTGACATGCTCATGAGCTCGTGCTTTAAGATACAGCCTCTAGCCTTGAAAGAACATTGGCTCTACAGCCTCTAAACTCTAAGAGGATTTTGTGAGCATCCATCCATCCATCCATCCATTTTCTAACCACTTTATCCAATTCAGAGTCGTGGAGGATCCGGAGCCCATCCTGGGAATCAGCTGGTACAAGGCAGGATACACCCAGAACAGGGCACACATAGACACATAGTCACACCAGGCCCAATTTTCCCAGAAGCCAGTTAACCTACCAGTATGTCTCTGGACTGGGAAACCGGCGCACCAGGAGGAAACCCACACGAATGTGTGGAGAACCTACAAACTCCACACAGAAAGCACCCAAGTCTGATATTTACCAGTGCGCCACCATGCTGCCCATTCTGTGAACACACTGTACTGAAATAGTCATTAACATAGCAGCTGCCATGTGGCCCTGCAGTAAACTCTGAGCTCTGAGCAAACACCACCTTTTATTAAGACACCGTCTGCTTTTGTGTTGCTGAGCAGACACTCAGGATATCCACGGTGACTTATAAAACTAACAATAATTTAACATAAATACGAATCAAAGAGATTGTTCAAATGCAGTTATGAAATAAATAAAATACAATTGAGAAGAAAAAGGAAATGGTGAGCCTGTAGATGGTAGCAGTGCAGTGCCTGTGCAGAGTGGAGTGGAAACAACGTTCCTCATGCGGTAGGGCAGTAAGCAGCCTGCAGATGCAGAGCTGTGGAGTGGGAGTGGACAGGCAGCCTGCAGGCCTGTGATCAGACTGCAGTGAGGACTGATACTGTAGGTGACAGAGTGATTTTCTAAGCAAACACACAGTGAAAAATACCTTTCACAGTTGTGGAGCGTCTGTGATCAAAACCAATGAGTGGGCACTCGTAGATCAATAAACTCAATAACATCTCGACCTCTGAAGAGTACGGGTGTGACAGGCCGTTAATTTTCCTTCTGC